GGATTTTTGTTTTTATTGTTTTTCAGTATTAAGAATTGAACCCACGACTTTCCCACTAAGCTACGTCTCCAGGTCTTGTTTTGAGACAGTCTTGCTAAGTTGCCCAGGCCAGGCTCAAACTAGCAATCCTGTGGATCTTTACACTTACCTTGCTTGCACCTGCACTTATCACTTCAAATTTCTCCAGGTACGGTGAAAGGTTTAATTTTAAAACTTTTCTCAGTGTAGTTCCAGAGTCTGGAGTCAAGTCATAGCCTACAATTTCTGACATCTGTTTCCAGTGACGAGCTCTCATTCCTGGATTGCATAGAATGGAGACAGTAGGAATATAGTCCTAATGGTAAAAAAAAATGTATATACAATAAACATCATCTGACTTCTCAACACAGAGAGTCCATAAACAAAACATTGATAGTAATGATTACACATTTTCAAATTATTTAATATATTTTTATGAGTACAAAGTGCCCATTAACTTTGGATGAAAAGAAAAACTAACAAAATGATCTTTAAATTCATCTACAAAAATAAACATAAAAAAGCCAAGAAAATTATAAAAGTAAAAAGAACGAGTGATAAATTTTATAAGATATTACAGTATGTGATGAAACTATGACAAAGCTCAAGAGACGGAGGGAGTGTGAGGAAAAGGAGAGAAAGGGGAGGAAAAGGAGCGGGGACGTGCTACGTACATGTTCCACCTCCACACAAGGGACGTCAGCAGAAAGCGCTACAAACATGTCCAGAGTTTAAAAAACACTTTCCAGGAGAAAAAGAGATTCTAAGTTGTTATACAGACCATGTGTGGGAATATACACAGAAACACTATATGTAGAAATGTATATCATTACAAATATACACGTGTGGAAAAAACTTTGTCAAAATGCCAAAATATAACAAGGCTTTCTATCTGCTGAGTGGGATCAAGCATTTTTAACTATTTTATTGTATTTTTCTGTATTTGTTTGCTTTAAGGATGTGTTGCTCAAAACTGTATGAATTTTAAAGTTACATTTGTTTGGAAATAAAACTATTTAGCAAAATAATTCATCATTCTTGATAGCAACATTAGAACATTTTCTTAAAATCATGAACAATATAAGGTATACAAGGTGGTTGTTTTTTTCTGATTCTTATTTTAGGAGATCTCTGTTAACTGGTGAACTATAAGAAAAGCTGTGGCAATGATAAAGCAGTAAAGCCAAGTGGAAAACTGCAAGAACATGGTTCAGGTAAGGAAAGAAATCACTTCAAAATTTGTTGAACTTATACATGTAATTTTTGGGACTCAGAACCAATTGTTTGGTTTTCCATTATTTCTCATAGGAAAAATATGTTCTGTCCTCACACTTTTTAGTATTTGAAAACAAACTGGGAATGAATTGAGTCTGACAACCAAGGCGTCACTGTACTGCACAATGGCCAGAGAGCCGATGTTTTTGAACTGGTTCTTCTCCAGTCAGATGCCCAGTGAGGTCAAGACTAGATGCTCACCAATCTGCTTTATATATAACTAGTGTATTGCTATCAACAAAGCACAAGAGCAGAGGGTGGATTTTATATTCTAAATAATAGGCAACAAAATTAAAAATACATGTATGATATTAAAATAACATTAAATGTATGTTTATACCTTAAAAGCTTTTATCTGCTCCATTATTGTAGAACACATAGTAATTGTAGGACTCTCTTTTGGTTCTTCTTCAGGTTTCTCTTCTGTCACAGATCGTTTTCTTGTTGACCTTCTTTTTTCTTGTATTTCTTTTTTATGTTTCATTTGGAAAAATCTCAGTGTCTTAAAAATTTCTCGGGAAAACTCATCTACATCAGCTTCCATACTTTCCCCATTGAGTTCCAAAAACCCTCCATCCATCCACCTTAAAGGGAAGAAAAACAGTATTAAAGTCAAACATAGAGCCTGTAGACCAGAACTCTCACTTCTGTAAAAGAAACCACTCATGATAGAGCAGTTAACTATTTTTCTCTGTCCTTCAAATACAGGTTATAGAAAAGACACAAAAATAAAACCATCATTTTGGCTAACATATGTATCAAATTACTAATCAGCAAAATATGTATCAGATTAATAATGGCAAAATATACATCAGATTACTAATAGGCAACATTATCCTAATGAAATGCAGATTCGATTCACACTTCCAGTTTTGATGTAAATATCAGTCAAATAAATCAATTGCATAAAAACTGAATTGATTCTGGAAAACTTAAATGATACTATAGAACTTATAACATTAAAGACTGATGCTAAAGCTCTATAGTAAGAGTGTCTGTCTCACATGTGCAAGACCTTGGACTCAATCCACAGCACTGCAAAAGTGATAATATCAATAAAAGATAATAGTAAGTTTAAGTGGTATGTTAGTATTACTTGGTGCTTCTCCTATATGATACTTGGTTTTCATCAAATGAATAAATCCTACTTTTAAACACTTAAAGAAAGAGAGCCGGGAATGGTGACATACCATGTGCTGTAATCTCAGTGCTTGGGAAGCCGGGGCAGGAGGACTGCCACAGGTTTGCAGCCAGCCTGGACTGCATAGTGAGTTCAACTGGACTACATAGTGAGACTTTGTATCAAAGAAAGAAAGAAAGACGAGGGGCGGGGCGGGGCAAGAAAAAGAGAAAGAGGAAGAAAGGGAAAGGGACAGGGAAAGAGAAAGAGAAATAGAATGGAAGAGAAAGAACTTACATCTTAAGCATTCTTTTATACATTTGCTTAAATGTTACTATATTATCAGAAATTACCGTTTTTCTGCTCGCTGCCACTTCAGAATAAGATTAAAAAACTTCTGATAGGGTTCAATGTTATTTTTTAAGTTATCCAATTCAGGATATTTTGATAATTCCCATTTGAAAAGTTCCTCTTCTTTATTAATAAACTGAACTGCTTCTTCAGATTCCTGGATACGTTTCTGCAGTTGTCTTACATCTGTCACATACTGAGTGCAAACGATCCATCACAAGAAATATCCAAGTATATGATAAAAATAAGATTATATGATACTGCATAGGGTACGCCTTATATTTGTACAGCAACTCTGAACATTATAATAACTTCACAGTATTATACTAATAGAGAATATGTACAGTTATGTTTGCAAATAGGAGAATCACAAGAAAGATCACATAGGGGGCTGAGTTGTGTCTCAGTGGGGCAGCCCCTGTCTAGCATGCATCACACCACAAGTTCGATTCCCAGGACACTCAGAAAAGAAAACCACACAGACTGGACAGTGCCTGTTTCAAGCCAAAGAGTCAAGGGAAGCTTCATTTGCCGTAGAAGGCATGTAGTTTTTAATATTTTTTTTTTTGTCTTTTTCCTTTTTATCGGTACCGGGGATCGAACTCACCACTGCCTGCTTCCAAGGCAGGTGCTTATGCCACTGAGCTAAATCCCCAGCCCCTAGTTTTTAATATTTTAAAATGTTCACAAATTGATGAATAAAGAAAACGCTATTCTCTTATATAATGAATTACTATTGAACCATAAAGAAGCATAAGCTTCAGACATTTCTAGGTAAGTGGATTTCTAGGTAAATGAGTCCACACTCATAAGTGAAATAAATCAGACACATGTGTAAATACTGATTGTTTCTCTAGTGTGAGAAACTGAAAGTGTAAATAAGGACCAAAATGTATATTGTGAAATGGGAAGAAAATGTTCAAATGGGAAAGGGAACTAGGAAAAGGAACTAGGGAAAGGAAAGGAAGGAAAAGAAGAGAAAAAATGAGAATAGAAGAAAAATGGAAATAAAGCTTTTCTAAATAGGGAAGAGAGGCTGCAGGGAGGTTAAAGAAATAGGGGGAAAAATTAAGCTATATCATGTACAGGTACAAATTCCCTAAGATGAATGTGATCATGATGCCTAAAATGTACTCATAAACTTAATTTATTAAAAATGTTGGGGCTGGGGATTTCAGCAACATAAGCGCCTGCCTTGCAAGCAGGCAGTCGTGAGTTTGATCCCCGGTACCAATAAAAAGGAAAAAGACAAAAAAAAAAAAAAAGTTGTGTTAATATGTCATGCACTAATCTACAGGCTGACCATAGATACTATCTTAAGTACTTATCAGACCTGTGGCATGCGATCCAGCTCTGCAAATTCTGTAAACTCTTCCATACGACGTGATTCTTTTTCGAGCTCCAAAATCAGTTTTTCTCTCTTGGCTACTAGTTCATTTTCTCGTTTATGTTTAGCATTCTCAATGAGCTTTTAAAAGATAATTTAATGATGCTAATTATTGTACTTAAAAAAAATTATGAAATGCTTTGTATAGTAATATAAACCATCAGAGAAAATGAATAAAAAATAAAACATTATCTACAATGACTGATACAAAAATCCAAAGAATAATAACACAGAAAAACTTTCCTATATCTCCAAAGTGACTTTTGCATCTCTTACTGATTAAACATTCTATTTATCAGAATCTGGGATAATGATAAACTACATTTATTGAGCACATACCATGTATCAAGAACTACTAAATAAATACCTTACTTTACCATAGGTATTATTATTTCCATTTTAGAGATGAAGAAATTAAGGCTTATGAAAGTCATGAGACATATCCAGGGTCACAAAAGCATAAAACTCAAATTTTCATTATTTCATTGTTATGGGTTTTATCCCTCAAAGCCTCACGCACACATAGGTAGGGATTTTTGGTAGTAGCTTGATCTAGAATGGGTGAATACGGATTATGGGCGTGTGATAATTAAATTAATCCACTGATTCCTTTAGCATAGTTCTGGGTGTGGTAATGGAAAACCCTAACCTGGGCGTGGTGCCAACCAACTGATAGGCTTGAAGAGACAGAAGGCAAAAAGAGGCTCAGTGCTGCCGCTTCTCTGCCTCCTGCCGACCCTCCCACGGACTAGTTCTCCTCAGCCACGCCCTTCTACCTCGACACTCTAGCTCGGGGCCAGCCAATATGTACCGAAACCTCCACACACTGCGCTAAAATCAGCCTTTCCGGGGCTCACTTCAGCGGCACATATCCTAAAACTGGAATAATACAGATTAGCATGGCTCCTGAGCAAGGAAGACATGCAAGTTCATGAAGCACTTCATATTTTTAAAAATAATAAACAATAAATAAAAATAAACCTTTCCTTTTATTACTTGTGGTGGGGTTTTTTTGGTTTGTTTTTTGTTTTGTTTTGTTGTTGTGGTTTTTTTTTTTTTTTTTTTTTTTTTTGGTTTTCTCCTTTTTATCGGTACCGGGAATCGAACTTACGGCTACCTGCTTACAAGGCAGGCGCTTATGTCGCCAAGCTAAATACAGCCCTCCTTTTATTACTTGTGAGTGTAAGGTATTTTGTCTTGGTCACAAGAAATGACTAAGATACTGTTTTACCTCCAGTTGTATAAAAAAATGGTTTACACTGGTTTTCAATTTTTGAAAAACATTCAGATACAAAACTACATTCAGATATAAAATCCTTAAGCTGCTACCTCCTATTTCTGTGCTATTAAGCACCTGCTCTGTTTCACTTCTGATCTATAAAATCTTTCTCACCTACAAAACAGGGGAATAGGAGTGCCTGGAATTTTTGTGAATATTTGAAGCTTTAATAAATGAACAGTACTTAGTTTAGGGCTGAATTCAATTATTATTAATAACTTACATAGTAACTATGATCTCTTGAATGTCATCTCCCCTACTGACTAAAGAATGTGAGTCAAGACGAAAAATCTATCCTAAGCTGCTGTAAATTTTTCCAGACTCAATATATACTGACATGTGAATTTCTGAGGAGGTTTTTTGTTTGTTTGTTTTTTGGAGACAGGTCTCACAATGTAGTCTAGGCAAACCTTGAAGTCACTATGTAGCCCAGGCTGGCCTCAGATTTGTGGTGATCATCCTGCCTTCGCCTCCTGAGTGCTGGGATTACAGACATGCACCACTATGCTTGGCGATATAAAGTTTTTAAAGGTAGATGGCAAGTATATTGACAAATGTGCACAATTGAATGTCAGAATAAAAAACACATATTGAAAAATATATTTACCTCATCATTTTCATCAAAGATGGGATTAATCTTCTTAGGCCACAAGAGAACATTTGCATTTAAAGTTAAGTCTTCTTGAGGAAACAGATAATTATCTAAAAAGTAATTCATCTGACGTTTAGATTCCTACAAGAGAAGCTCTAGATATAAACACATCAGACTGAAAATTGCAGGCTTTATAAAAAAAAGACAAGAATGGACATTTTCTAAGATTCCTTCAAGCCTCCATATGCCTCAGATAATAAACTATATTTTATGTACTGTCCAAATCACAGAGCTATTTCACTAGCTGCAGCATTTATCTAGCTTCTAGTCACACAGCTGTGTTTTCATAGTGGTGATAAAGCTGTTTAGAAGTTTGCACTTGCTGTTGACTTCACTGACAGGTATTCTAGGTCCTTTTGTGTATGACTGAAAAAGGTGATCGCTACTCAGCACCCTCTGAAGCTCCTGGCTCTAAATATTTTTTATTCTTAACAACTTTAAAATTTTTTGAATCTCTGGTTATAAAGATTTAATTATCTTTTCTTTTGCATCTCCAGTGTTATTACCATCTTTTTATCCACTTATCACTATAGCAACAGTCCAGAAAAAGTTTGGTGATGAATGGCAAAGAAAAAATATTCATCTGAGTAGAGAAACTGAATATTTGTGCCACTGATCTATATGTTTGGTGTAGAGCTATAATATTTAAGACCTGATATACAGATTCAAGGCTAATTTAAGGTTTCTGACAATATGTTGTAAGATGTGTATATATATATATATATATATATATATATATATATATATATGACACATAGATTATATATATATATATAAGACACATAGAAATATAACTCAAAACACTGATCTATGTAATTCACAATACTAATTAGAGGAGAAAATATATTTCAATAGATGAAAAAGTGTTTAATAAAGTTCAACATCTGCTCATAAGTTTTCAAAAAGCCTAGCAGCATATAACAATAAACAAGAATGCAGTCATCACATAAAAGTACTATAAAAATCCATAGCAGATGTCACACGTAATAGTGAAACTTTGAAGCTCTTTCTTTGGGGATAGGATAAAGATTAAAATGCCTGTCATCCTCCACTGTTGTTCACCATTGTACCAGAGGTCCTGGCCCATCACAACGAAGAAAATAAAGTTTTAGAGATGTGTAATATTTAAGCAGGACAAAAACAAGACTGTCTTAGGGGTTGGGGATTTAGCTCAGCGGCATAAGCACCTGCCTTGCAAGCAGGCGGTTGTGAGTTCGATCCCTGGTACCAATAAAAAAGGAAAAGACAAAAAAAAAAAAAAAAGACTGTCTTTACTTGTAAGTTGTATAATGGTATGTGTAGACATTCCAAAATAATCTTCAGATAAATTATCAAGAGGAGAAACTAAATATTTTTTTGGTACTGGGAATCAAACTCAGGACCTTGCATTTGCTTATGTCACTGAGCTATATTCCCAGCCTGAGAAACTAAATATTAAAGTTTTAAAATAAATACATTTAAAAAGAAACACTGTGACTTATAAATATCAAACTGGCATGTAAAAATAAATTTTATATTACAACCTAAAGTATAAATACCATTAACCTATAATGACATAAATAAATAATTGAATAAAATAAGAAGTGGAAGAAAAGAGAAAACTTGCAGGTATAGGATTCCAAATATATTATACAGACTCCATCTTAAAGAAAGGGAGCACAATTTCTCACTTCTTAGGCTAGATATACTTTATTCTTTCCAGGGAACAGAATGGAAAAGGAGACCAAGCACACAGTTCAACATTAGTTCAGTCAGATAACCATGACCAACATCAACAGTGAAATCATGTTAGCAATAAAACTCTCAACATGATGTGCTGAAAATAGCACTTTACTCTGAGATCCTCCTCCCAAAAACCCACACCATAGTGCAATCATGAAGAAAACCATCAATAAGTGGCCATCCTACAGAGCATCTCACCAGTATGCCAAAACCACAGTGATCATCCAAATCAAGGGGAGACTGAGAAACCGTCCCAGCCCACAGCCTAAGGAAATAGGACAAAATGTAATATAATATTTTATATGGGGTGGGTTCCAGAACGGAAAAAAAAGACACTGTGTAGAACAAGGGACACTGCGGTGGACAAAATACACCCTGATCACATTTCTCTCATGAAAATTTGTACTTTAGGATGACAGTAGCTGGCTGGGTGTCTCAGCAACTGCACTGGGGGACACAGGAACCACTCATGTGATGGACGGCAAGGTGTGTGCATGTGTACCAAAGTGTAAATGGATGAGTTTTGCCCACACTGTGTACCACACTACATTTTTGTGCTTTTGTAATTTTTATTACATGTTTTCATTTGATTTTTCATGTAGAATTATCCCAATGCAGTACAGCACTGACTGAAAATTCACTTTTACAAATTTGGGAGAAGGTTGAAAGGGTATCATCAGATGATTCAATGACCAATCGGATTTGGACCATGTAAGAAGTTAGCAAGATGTGAAGACCTTGATTCAGATGAGGAAGAAAATAGTAATGCAAATAAATATTTGATTAGTAAAAATGTTACACAATGGTCATGTGTACCTGAACAAACCGATGTTAGAACTAGTTCAAAAAATGTAGTTGGGTTCTTGCTAGGAATGAACGTATTGGGCAGAAAGAAGGTTGACACTGCCGGGTACCAGTGGCTCATGCCTGTAATCAAAGCACTCGGAAGGCTGAGACAGGAGGATCACTGCAAGTTCGAGGCCAGCCTGGGCTACAAAGTGAGTTCCAGGCCAGCCTGAACTGCATAGTGAAACCCTGTCTCAAAACTAAAAAACAAAACAAAACCAGAAATGCTGACACGTAGTTTAATGCTAGGAACTGTTTGTAATGGATGATATGCTACAAGGTGTTTTGAAATCTACTAACAATGAAATAAAAATGAAACATTCTATATGTATCAATAGTAATACTCAATATATATATATATATATATATATATATATATATATATATGTCATGACATCTCACTGTTTGAACTAAAAGCCTTCATAGCAGGTCTTTATTATTCTAATTCTCAGAATCTAAAGGAGTTAGACAGATGTGTCACTCTAAAGGAGTGACAGATGTGGTACTGGATTTTTAGAACAATAATGACACTCAAGAGATCTGGTTTGTTTAAAAATTTCCTAACTTTGATGATAAAAACTCACCAAGAAAGAAAAATATCCAACAATTTGGCTGCTATGCCACTGTTTCACCATCTGAATACATGCCAATACAAACAACTTGCACCATTTTGTGGTTGTTGAAGGTTTCAGAACTATCTACCAAATAAACTTCCCAAACAAGGTGTAAAAATACATGCCCTGGTCAATGCAAAGACATTTTACACCTTGAATTTAGAAATTTACCCTGGAACTCAGCCATCAGGTCTTTATTCATGTAGTAATAAACCATATAACATTATGAACAGATTCGTTGTACCTATTTCAAAAAGTAACCCAAATATCACATTCAAAAATTGGCTCATAAGTCATCCACTGATGTTACATTTGCTAAAAGAACACAAACTGACCAGCATAGGAACTATTTGCAAGAACAAATCTGAGGCAAGCTGACACTGGGGACCTTTCTCACCTGTGCCCAGTGAAGGCTGAGAGAAACAGCCAGCCACATCCCTGCATGCCTGCCACTATCAAGGAAATCTCAGTGTAGCCACGCAGGCTTGGAAAAGCAGCAGCCCCACACACAGGTACCCACAGCCATCAGGGAAGCCGTGGTGTAGCCACGTGGGTCTGGAGAAGCTTCTCCTTGCCCCATCCCCTCCCTAGAAACCTAGGTTCAGAGAAACCCAAGCACATGGCCCATTATCTTACACCATGGGTATAGGACAGCCAATGCGGGAAGTGTCTGGGATCCCACAATCAGCTCATCTGGAGGAAACCAGGAAAATGCCAAGATGAAGGACAAAATGCAATCTCAGACCTTCAGCTCGCAGAACAACTCTAGGAGACACAGACATGGAATAAACTGGAAGTCATGCACCTGCAATTTCTGAAATCAAGAAACACTTCATGA